TGCCTGGGGGGGGGGCCCCCGGGGGCCCGGGGCCCCCCGCCGCAGGAAAGGACTGTGGCTGGGTCCGAAATGCCTGGTGGTGCTGACAGTTCTCCATGACGCGTGGCTTTTTTTCAGGAGTGGTTAGAGCTTCTTCGCGACTCTCCGACTTCCTCTTGTGGGCTTCAACACTGACTTCCATGTCTTCATTTACAGGGGGCTTCTTTTCTGGTGTTTCTGGAGCCGTCACTGGACTTTTCACGCTTGCGACCACTTCACCTGCCTCGGGGCTCTTTGGTTTACTCGGGGCCAAAGCTGAGGTACTGGCAGTCTCTCTCACTGGCGCGTCCTTTGCCGCAGCGTGCTTCCTCTCTTCTTCTGCCTTTGGACTAATGGCAGTCTGTGGTTTCTCTTGGATGGACTCTCCCTGGACTCTCTCTTTCACAGGGAGAGGACGGTCACTAGGTTTCGCTGCACACCCATCTGGGGAAACCAAGGCCTTGGCAGGTTTGGCCGGTTTTGGCTGTGCCTCCTCTCGTCTTTCCTCTCCTCCTTTTTTCATCGCTGGTGCTTCCTGGACTGCTTGTGCTTTAGACTCCAACGGAGACGTAATCTCCTCTTTGAGTGGTGCCGGAGAGGCTGGTGTGCATTTTGGCTGTTCAGCTGCTGGATTTACAGGCTCTGTCTCGGCAGGGCTGGTGTTTGCTGTCAGTCTCTTGGACTCTTCAGGACTTAGTCCAGAACTAGCAATAAAAACAGAATTTTTATTTGTAAAACATTCTTGCAAAAAGCATCCTATCCTTACAAAAAGCATCCTATCCTTACAAAAATGGAGAGGATGCTCTACATACCACACCCTCAATAAATACGTCTCACACACCTAATTCCATGCCACGGTCCTCAAAAACCTTCCATACTGTTTCTACTTCCCCATAAAACTGAACTTAAGAGAAAAGTTTAAACTGAATACATGGAACCCAGGTCAGATCTCGTCCTCTGTCCAGATACCAATCTTCCAGGCTGCACATCAAATGAATTTGGCCAACAGTAAACATTCCCTTTATTAGCCACCGCAGAGAGATCTCTGCAGCGTGCGAACAACCCCACACAGCCTGCGTCTGACATCAGCTCCTACGGTGACATTTGCGGAAAGGGACACTGAAAAGCGTCCCACCGTTTCTTCCCGAGGAACACGGCTGGTGCCAGAACCACTGACGCACCCTCCGCTTAGAACCGACGTTGCTGCCCGTCTCCATCGTCAAAAAGCTGGGAGCACTTCCCTGCATTATTCATCCATCTTTATTTGTGAAAGAAACGAACAAGCTGGGAATCTAACTCCCAGAGCGATGTCTGACTTAGGATTAACTTCATCCATCCCTCTTAACGAAATACCAAATTTGGGGGTTTTTGCCCAAACACGAACCCATAAAGTCTGATGAAGCCAGCCTGGTGAGCCTATGGGATTGATTTCTACCAGACAAGTTCTTAGGTGCTAGAGAGAACTGAAGTCCTGCTATTGCTTGTGCATGTCACCTCCACACTGTCCTGCCGTCCCCTGTCCCCCTAAAGCATCAAGAATGCGGCTGTCACCTTTTATCCTCCAGCACAGAGCTCCATGCGTGTTTACATCCCAGTTTTAACGCTGGGAGAACTGGGTACATCAGCTGAGTACAGCTCTTCATTACTGCTGCTAGGTCACTTGCACCCTCGCCCTGGTGTCTTCCCTTACCCGGCGCTGCAGCCCGCCATACACACACGCGCGCACACCAGCCTCCTCCTCACCCACCAAGCCCCAAACTATCAGACCACCGAATGACAAAAATAGGGCTTGCAATAATCCAAACGCTCTAGAGGGTTAAAACATCATAGGTGAACGGGAGGAAAACTGGCTGACAGTCCAAGGACAAGCACAAAAGCGAACTGTCGAGGTGCAGGATAAGTTATTTATATGCATCTGTTCATTTTCAAGTTTCTTAGTACAGTTATTTCCACAGAAACCCGAAATCTTCTCCATAGCCCAAAAGGATGGGAAAATCTTGAAGCAAAAAGCAGCACAGAATAAAAGACTCGCAGCCTTGGGGGTTTAACCAAATCCTGACTGAAGACGTGGGGAAATGCACCGCATTTTCCACAGCAGGCGACCGACTGCGAGGCAGAGCGCGCTCGACCACCACGTGCCCTGGATCTCCAGCATCCTGACACTAGAAGAACCCGAAGCGCCTCAAAGTATGGCAGGAAGGAGTGGGAAAAGCCAGGATGTCAAGTCTAAGGGACATCCTCGCCTAAGGAACAGTACTACCCTGGTTAAAGCACTAGAAATCGTGACAGCAAACACAGCGCTTCTGACCTAGATCACGCAGGCGTCTTCTCAGTTCTGTGGCAGCTGGATGAAGCTAGAGACCTTCCTCAGGCTTCAGGACTAATGAAAAGTAATGTTGATCGATGGCCAGCATGCTACAAACGCAGCAACAGCTACGTCTGGATGGGCAATGCGGGATTAATTGAATGTCTTACCTCTGACCATAGTAGCTCTCAAAAAAATGTTCCTTCCACAGCTCGACCTTCTTCTCCTTTTCTATTTCTTGCCGTATCCTTAGCTGCATTTCTGGCGTAAACTCACCTGCAAAATGCAATAAAGGGTATCTTCAAAAAAAGCTATGGATAAAACGAACCAGGATAACCACGGAGCCTTCACGCTTACGGGTGAGAGTGCTGTCGCGCAGAAGTCCCTGCCGCTGCTTGTGACCCTGGTACTTCAGCATTTCTCCTGAGCTGCCACGGGTTTCCCTGCTGCCTGCTCCTTGCAGTATGGGCAACAGCTTTATGCCCGACAGTCACATCTCCTCTCCCTGCCCGTGTCCACTCTGGCTGCCAATAGATGTTTTATGCAAAAAGGCGCTTACTAAATGAATGCAAATCTATACCCAAACGAATGTGGTGTGCATGCAGGCACTACGGAACTGCCATTTTCTGAAGGATCTGAAGATACTGCCTGTGCAGATGGCAAAGCAATAAGGCACCTCGAAACGACAGTCGTGGATGCCTGTGGTGGAATAGGCAGGCAAGAACATCAAAGGCTTCTTGCCCAGCACAAACGACAGAAAATATTCCTGGTGATGGATGCTGTTCTGTCGCAGGCAGGTGGGGAACACAGAACCCCCCCGCACACATCTGAGGCGCACGGTTCACACATACATGCATTGCGGTTTTAAGAAATGGTCTAAGAAATGGTTTAAGAAATGTTTCCTAACGTCAAGCCTGAACCCTCCCCGACGCAGCTTCGAACCATTAAGGTTTGTTAGACCATACATTGATATTTGAAGAGCTCATCATTCAACAACAAGGCGCCTTGGTTTTTCTGACACAACTGCAGTGCTCTGATGACGGACGTGTGACCTGGAGCCGGCAGACTTCACGCGTTCTCAAGGTTTACTGAGCTCACAGCCATTTTGTTTGTGCTCTTTAGCTCTGGGGGAAACAGTTACTAGAACCAGATCTTTTCCAACCCCGCGGTTACCAAAGAGAGGGGATTTCTTAAAGCGATTAACAGAAATTGGATACGTCCATAACTGCACAGTTTGTTTCTCGACAATTTTCTCCCATCAAATATGGGGATCGTAAGAATTTCTTGCTGAGTTTGGTCTCCGTGCAGTTAGCAAAATATATCCAAAGGAAACTAAGAGCGTGTCCCTTCCTAGTCCACTGTTTCTTGTCAGCATTAAGTCAGGACAGTCATCTTTTTACTGCTGCAAGCAGAGGGCCCAAAACAGAATCTCTGGTTACATCAACTTTCTTTTCTATTCTTGAATAAACTTGGTCAGAGAAAGAAAGAGAAAGAAAGAAAGAAAGAAAAGAAAGAAAGAAAAGAAAGAAAGAAAAGAAAGAAAGAAAAGAAAGAAAGAAAAGAAAGAAAGAAAAGAAAGAAAGAAAAGAAAGAAAGAAAGAAAGAAAGAAAGAAAGTCTGCTGCATCGAAAACAGTGGAACGCCTGCCTTTACTTAGAGTAATTTAGCAAGAGGGTACGAAATTCATTCATTTGAAATAGTCTCTGTTGTAGCAGTGAATTCCCGGGCTCTCGCTGCTGCGGTTACGCCACCTTTGTCTCCCCATCAGGAGACTTCAGCTGAAGCACACGTCAGCATCAGCCCAGGCTGGCCCTGAGCCCAAAGCACAGCGAAAGCCGACGCGGCAGCTTGCAGGCTGGTGGAAGCCATTTACGTATGAACATCTACCTGAAGGTGGATGGGGACCTCAGGAGGTCTCCAGTCTAACCTCCAGCTCAGAGCAGGGGCAGCTTGGCCTCCGCCAGGTTGCTCAGGGCTCTGGCCAGTTGGGGCCTGAAAACCTCCAAGGATGGAGGAGGCACAACCTCTCCAGGCACCTGCTCCACGCTGGAATGACTCTCCTCACGGGGAAAAGCTTTTCCTTACATCCCATCTGACTCAGGCCTGTTTTCTCTCATCCTCCTGCCAAGATTGTCACCAGCCTCCAGCTGTGAACCATGACTGCAAGCGTGACCGTCCAACCAGCTATCTGCCCGTCTGGACTCCAGTGTCCCAGCTCAGATACAAGTGTACTGTAGGAGGCACTGATCAAAAGCTTTGCTTAGGCTGAGGTAAGTGATGCCTGCTGCTCTCCCCTGGTTCACAAATTCACTCATTTTTAATGCAGTCAGGCTATTCAGGCATGATCTACACTTGGTAAAACCACGCTGTTGCCAATCACCACCCTCTTCACATGCCCAGAGATGTGCTCCAGGGGGGCTCACTCCACGACTTTCCCAGTGATGACGCTGAGGCTGCCCAGGCCTGTGTCTTCTCAAGATAAGGCTGCCCAGGCCTGAGTCTGTTAAATGCTACTGGGAGTGACCCCAGACAGCACTGTTATGAATCGTCAGTACCCTGAAGAGCAGCTGCACAAAGCCTACAGGACCGCTCTGCCCACAGCGGCATCAGGCTTTAATACTTGAGCAGAGACAAGAGTGCTCAGTGAGAATGTCAGTGGAGATCTCCAGACTTCACCCTCGTCATCACAAGCTTTACCACCCTAGCGGGTTCTACATCAGCTTTGCTCTGGTACCAGAGAAAGTCTTTGCATAAATTAACTGGGGTTATTTAGTCTGGAGCAGAGGAGGCTGAGGGGAGCCCTGATCGCCCTCTACAACTGCCTGAGAGGAGGGGGTAGGGAGGTGGGGGTCGGCCTCTTCTCCCTGGGAACAGATGATAGGACGAGGGGGAATGGTTTGAAGCTGCGCCAGGGCAGGTTTAGGTTGGACATTAGGAAAAACTTCTTCACCGAAAGGGTTGTCAGGCTCTGGAATGGGCTGCCCAGGGAGGTGGTGGAGTCCCCATCCCTGGAGGTATTTAAAAGAAGGGCAGATGAGGTGCTGAGGGACAGGGTTTAGTGGTGGGATGGCAGGGTGAGGTTAAAGGTTGGACTTGGTGATCTTAAAGGTCTTTTCCAACCAAAGTGATTCTATGATACTATGTGGCTGCACCCTCTAGATGTGTAGACATGAATGGACAAAAGGTCTCTGAAGAAGCATTTAAGGGGAAAACGCTAAATGACGGTGGCTAAAACTGGGGGTGGGTTTAACAATTGAACACTTCCCTGTTTGCTGGCATAGACACACCCAGAAGCTACAAAACAGAAAGGGTTACTCATACAGAACTGGATACATTTTCTGCAGAAAAGCCTCTTAAGACTCAATCACCTGGGCATGAGTAAACGATATTGCTGTCTTCCTAAAGTGAGTCACGACTGGTGCTACAGCCTTTACAAAAACGCTGGTGACAGGCTGTACGGTGCGGTTCTGTAGAGGGACTGGTCCCTGCCCATAATGCATGAGCGCACTTCTGACAATGTGGTTTGATGAAATCATGGAATTAAGCACCTCTAAGTTCAAAATGCAAATGATGGTTGAAGGTGCAGGAGTCCTACGGATTAGTAAACAACTGACATAAAAAATTATGGCTCAAAGGACTGACCACACCACCTGTGGCTGGGCGACTTTGCTGAGGACAAATGGCGTTACTCTGGGAATGTAACTGACCTTCTCTGCTGAGCTTAGCAGTGGGCTGTATTGCCACCACAGCTTGAGAGTAACACAGCTCTACTGTCATTTCAACGAGATTTTAAACACATTTTTCCTTCTTTTCTCATCTCTTCCAGAGACTTGCTCATTTTTCCACACCCGAAGTTCAAAAGAGAAGTCCTTCCCGCAGCCCCCCCTGTGACCTTGAGATTACAGCTCTAGCCTCGCCCTTGCTCCCGGGGCCGTACTGACTACTGCTGACTTTACCCAGGAAGTCACTCCAGCGCGTCAGCTTCTCCGTAAAAGCTCTTTTACACATTCCCCAAAACATTCACTGGCTGAAAGCCTCATAGTGTTTTGCTTCGTTGTCTGGGGAAGTTTTACCTTCTGACAACCTCTCCTTCCAGCCTTGGGCCGCTGAAGTGAAGAACTCGTTGTTGAGCGCAGAGCCACTCAGCTTCATCAAACCATCCGCCCCAACCTGGAATACATGACAAAGCAAATAGTGTTAACCAGCTGGAAAGGCAAATGTCACACCTTGTCATGAGGGAACTAAACACAGAGCAAGAGTCCCAACATTGCCACAAATCTCTCTGGAATCTGCCTTTAACTCACTCGGAAGAAAATAAACAGCCTTCTTAAGGCTGTGCTTAGGCACGTCTGGGATCTGGGAGGCTGTGGTAAACTTTCCTCATCCTTGCTTTAGCCCCATCCTCTGTAGTCCTGCACAAACATACATGAGCAGCAGGCGGTGCAGGCAGCAAGGAGAAGCACACAGAAAGTGAAGAGCATCGCCTCCGAAAAGCTTCTTCAGATGCCTTTTGCCCTGCAAAATGAATGCAAGGTATCGCCTGAACTACCGTCCAAAGCAACAGCTCTGCTGTCTTCTGGAGAACATCAAAAAGCGCATGAAGGAACAGCAAGGACGTAAGAGGCGTTGTATAAATGTAACTCTGAAATCATAGCCATGGATGCTTCAGGGGGAATGGGGACAAATGAAGCTCAGAACGCATTCCATCTTTGAAATGTGATCAACCAGATAGGGCAGTCATGCTACAGAGGAGGACATAAATGAGAATTGTGAGGCTAAGGCTGCAATGTGGCATGGTGGGAAATTATAACCAGGGTAACAGAACACATACACAGTTTGCTTTTGCTCCTTATCCCACAGAAGTAAATGTGGAATTTCTCTACCAGAAACACACGTGTCACTCAGTAAGTTGCAAAAACTTGCAGTGGGCAAAACTGATGTGTTTCCGCTTCTTGCATAAACAATAAATCAGAACAAACAAGCAAAATCCAGCTGTCCAAATGTAGGACGTATCCGATGAGGCGGGGAGATCCGTGCAGCAAACGTTCACCAGCGCAGGACGGGATAAAGAGAAATGCTGCTTTTCCTGAGGCAGCCTTTGTGATGATGCAGGTAATCAAGATGATGGAAGTGACCTAATAGAAGGTGTTGTAGGTAAGATTTATGACGAGATTTTTGAGTTAGGAGCAGCCGTTGTAGGGACTGCAAAAGCAGAGATTTATTTTCTAGTCCAAATTGCTATTGATCGACTGCAGGGAGCGAATTCACCAGCCTGCTCTCTCCTGCACATACCGTGTTGCCAGTTCCTGGTGTTGGAGGACAGACAACTACCGCAGGGCTGGCTGGGCCGGGCCTCAAGTGCCCACTTTCTCGTCTACGGAAGCACCAGCTGTACTAGCTCAGCCTGAGTCACTGCCAAGCAAGACACAGCAGATACGTGACCTTTCACAACTGGCATGTCCCACGCCTTCACCTCTTCTTCTGTTTACTACAGCAAAGCCTGACATTTTATAAAGCACGCATCACCGCTTGATGTGGTGGGCTGCTCTAGGAGATTTACTACAGCTAAATGCAAAATTTGTCCTCTCAGGAGCCAAGCAGTATTATTTCGTTAGTCAAAATTTGTTCTCAGTCAAATTCAAATTCAATTTAAGGACGATTAAACCTAAAAGTCAGGACAGCAATGTCTTACCATCTGCTGTGAGGTTCTTGCCAGTGAACTCCAGCTGCAAACTCCATCACATCATATTTTGACACATACCTAATTATTACAAAGGCCACAGGACTTATAAAACAATTCCTTCAAATATTCATTGGATCAGCCCTGGACTAACAAGTCCCCGATGAATGCTGATCGGAGATTAGAATTTATGAGACGACACAGAATGTTAGAACTCCCCCTAACTCCAGACGAACGCTATCCGTTCAGCAAAGCATCCTCTGTAAAGCAGACCGCAGTGCAGCTGCCAGACCCATACACACTACGAACGTTCCGTGTGAGCCAAAAGATCAGCACAGCTGTGAAGATGGATATAACGTCACTAAACACGGATGCCTGTGCCCTAAGTGTCTATCTCTAGGCTGGTGGCCTGTTGCAGTGTACAGTGATCGAGTCAGCTGAGCGTACGGAGGCGGGGACTCAGTTCATCTCGTCCTTGAAGCAGACACCGCTATTTGGTCACAGGCTCTCAGCTGTACCAACTGGATTTCCACTTTCTATAAAAGCTGCCCAGAGTAACTTGCTGGGACCTAAGCTCCTGGGAGGCGACTGAGGTGTGCCAACACAGGCATCCCGTACTAATCCGAACACCTCACAGAAAAGCATCCTCAAGGGACTTGCAGATCTGAGACAGGAGGTACAGAAGATTTCCATCTGGAGTGGCATCTTGAAGCCAGCTTTGATATCTAAAGAAATTCGAAATGGCTGTAGGCACGTATGTTACGGCATCTGCATTAACACCCCTACGACTGAAGTGGGAGCACAGCACAGAATCCCACTTTGCTCTGAAGCTCCCAGCCAGCTGGGGTAGGAATGCTGAAGACAACAAATGAATAAGGTAAAAGGAAGGAAGTGTCCTCGTTCTGTCTACAACTTTTCTGGTATTGAACATGAACAGATTGAACTTCACTTCCACAACTCATTGGGTTTTTTCTCCTTTTACATGGAAGCACAACATTTGTTCTTTTCTTGTCTCTTAGTATCATCCCTGCCTTCCACAAGCTGCTGAAGAAAACTGCTCTGATGTTGGGATTGCTTCAGGCAGTTCTTTCATGTACCCCTTCGGATGACATTCATCAGACCCAGCTGAGGTGATATAACTATCTTATCAAAAGACTCTCTTAGCCGTTCCTTCCATACTGCAGGCTGAGTTCTCACCCCCTTGTCACTCATGTTAATCGTTCCAGTTATCACCGACTTTTAGTGAAGAGCTCAGTGAAAACCTTCACCGATTCTTCTGTGCCACACCCAGAGCAAACGAACCCATTCCTCCCCAGCGAGTACTCTTCTGCTTTTGCAAATTCCTCTCTTCACAGACAAAGAGATCTTCAGACAGTCCACAAAAATAAACTGCCCGCAAGGCTGCCCCACGCTGCACACTTGGTACCTCTAATCTAGTGTGTGCTTCAGGTCAGGACACAAGCTCTCTGCAGCAGGTCGAGTACTCTGCAGTCTGGACAGTGAATATGCGATAGGAAACTCATTCAGTTTTCACTTCACCAGATTCAGAATTTGACAGCAGCGACAAAAGGTCATGAGAAGCAGAAGAGGCTGGAACTAAATGGCAGCATCTGTTCAGGTATTCTGTGGGAAGGCACCGGGGTTAATCCTGTACTGAAGAGTCTGGGAGAGGACAGGAGAGAGGAAGACGCTGAAACCACTGCATTCCCATCACTCCTGGCCCTCTTCAAGTCCCACGTAACAGAAACATTGCTCTCGCCGTAGCTGGGAATATGGAGTTGATTGAACAGAATTAAGCCACTGGTTTATCAAACCTGAAGTCTTTTTTTCTGGTAGCAACGAATCACTGAAGAATTTTCCAATTTTTTTTTTTTTTTTTTTTTTTTACTTTTTGAAGAAAAAAAAA